TTGTAGGTGTATGGATATTTTCCTATCACTGACAGCATTGTACTTAACGATAGATCTTGAAACATTCTTTGTGATGATGAATGCCATGCCATTTCTCTTCAATTTGTCATTCCTGGCATAGTAGATCATATGGTTTTTTGATTCAAAATGGCTACACAGTCCATTTAAGCTCACTAATGCATAGGGTATCAATTTTTGTGTGTCCCATTGAATTTTTGACAACTTTCAATTTTCTTAAATTCATACTTCGTACAGCCCATGTTCCAAAAATTAATGGATGTTTGCAGCTGTTCCTTCCCATTTTGAGTCATGCCACACCAACAAATGGAGGTCCTGAAAGCTTTACTCCATCCATGTCATTAAGGTAGATTCTACTTCGAATCTTCGAATAGCAGTGAATACCTGTTTTCACTGACCAATTCTTTGAGAAGAAGACGGCCCCTTCCTTCTTCCAAGTCTGTCAGTCTGGAAGCTCCACTGAAACCTGTCCACCACGGCTGACCCTGCTGGTATTTGAAACACTGGTGGCATAGCCTCCAGCCTCATAGCAACACACAAGCCACCACAGTATGACAAACTGACAGACAAGTGGTAGATTCTGACTCGTAGAGACACTATAAGACATAGTAGAACTGCCTCATAGGGTTTCCAAGGTTGTAAATCTTTATGGAACCAGACTGCCACATCTTTCTTCTGCAGAGAGGCTGGTGGGTTTGAAATTCCAAACTTTGAGCAGCTGGGCCTTTTAACCACGATACCTCCTGGGATCCTTGCAAAAGATCAAGGTACAACCTCGTCAGGAAGGTTGGGCAATCCTACTTCCGTAGTGATACTACCTCGGAAACCCAAGGAGGGGTTGCTATGAGTTGGGGCCAACTCGATGGCAAATAACAACAACAACAACAATTTTACAGGATGTTATGTATAGCATGTGTACATGTACTAAAAGATGGGAGTTACATATGTAGACATATAGAAATCTCTAGGGAGATAATGCCCTCCACCTGGACCCCCAAATTTATAAAAGTTATCTCTGAATGGTGGTACAGTGCCTAAGGCATTTGACTGCTAACCAGAAGATTGGCAGTTCAAACCCACCAGCCACTCCTTGGAAGGAAGACTGGACAACCTACTTCCTTAAAGATTTAAAGGTCACCATGAGTCGGAATCGACTTGATGGCAGCAGGTCTGAATCATTGGAGAGGAGGATGTCAATGTCAATGAAAGTAGAGCATTGGTTAGGATCCTTTATTTTTCACTTTTACATTAAACCATACTCTGTTCTTTTAATTCTTTTATGAGGGGGGTATGCATTTCTTACATAATTTAAAAACAATTTTTTAAAAAATAAACATTTAACCAGAAAACTGATTAAATAGTGACTGACTCAATATTTTAAAACTTTCATGGTCTTTTACTACCTGCTTTATTTCCTAAGGTTTTTTTTTTTTTAAATTATTATTATTATATCTCTAATAACCATTGCAAATATTTGTTGAGTACTTACTATTATCAAGGCCCTATGTTAAATATGTCACATACAGTATCTCACTACTCCTTACAACAACATTCTGAGTTGGATACCAGTTATTGTCCCCATTTTACAGACAAGGAAACAGAAATAGAGAAGTTCACAGGGTCACAAGACTAAGAAATGGTAGAGCCAGGATTTAAACCCAAGTATTTTTAGTTCAAAGACTGAAATTATAGGTAAAGACTTGTTTCTGTCTATGTTGTTGCTGTTATGTACCATTGAGTCAGACCCGACTCATAGCAACCCCTCCTTGAGTTTCTGAGGTGGTATCACTACAGAAGTAGATTGCCCAACCTTCCTTCCGAGGAGTTGCTGGTGTGTTTGAACCGCCAGCCTTCTGGTTAGCAGTCAAGTGCCTTAGGCACTACGCTACCAGAGCTCCATGTTTTTAGTATTGTTGTTGTTGTTGTTATGTGCCGTCGAGTCGGCCCCGACTCATAGCGACCCCTCCTTGGGTTTCCGAGGCAGTATCGTATAGTACCACATAAATTTGTCGATCAAGATCTTTCACACACTAGTATAAGTTAGTAAAGGAATATGTTTTCAGCAGTTTACATGAGTCATCTGGTAGAAAAATATGAAATTGATACTTAGATGTTAGCTGTTGATGGAATTTTTTAGTACATAGATAATTAAGTCATTAATTTATTTTTAAAATATTTCAGAAACTTCAGCTATTATCTCATTTAGTTGTCTGTAGGCAGAGTATAGATTTCTAACTCCACCATCATTACCATTTTCATCAATAATCAATACTTAATTGGATTACTCCTGTATATATGGCACTATTGTTTATGAAGAATCACAAATTCGTACCGAGACTCAAAGTCTCATTTGATTTAACTACAAAAGTGTCAAAATTTATCATGTGTGTGAGCACTACAATCACACAAGACTCCTTGGAACACAAAACAAATGAAACTTATAAAGTAAATCACAAAAATAGAGGAGAAAATGTGATTTATCATAATAAATTAATTTCTATTAAATATCCCTACAGTGTTTGGCATTGTGATGGATGCTAAAGAGAGTGTAACATTAGTGTGGTGACTGATTACTTGCATAATTGAATAAAGAAGATGAAAAATGGTGGACCATGGAGGTTTTATGTCTGAAAATATACTCTGAAATTCAATTCAACAGATATTTATTAAGAGTCTTCTATGATGAAGTATGTTGCCAAAACTGTCAGATAGAGGAATAAGAGTGTTTTCTGCTCTCAGGGCACTTACAATCTAGCTTGAACAGCACTGTTCGATGTATAAATTGAGAAACATGCAGGATTCACAGCGTGCTGAGTAGAGCTTAAGCTAAACTTCAGCCTCCCCTCACCCTTTGCTGGGATCCATTTGCATTGCACACCTTGCATAATCAACATGGCAGCCCTATCCATAATCAAAACAAGCAAATATGATAAAAATATCTTTATGGATCTTTTTATAGTAGTATATATAAAATCCTGGATGTACAGTTTGTATCAGGGCATGACATTTGAGCATCAGATAATAGATAAATGTTCCACAGTGAGAGGTAAGGGATTCCTTCACCTATGATTGGCTCAGTCTGGGTTCATGTGCCCAACTCAATGGCCCAAGACTAAACTGAGTGTTGTAACTGACAACTGCAATAGAGATATAAGTGAGAAGAGACTCCTGGCAGGCAAAGCAACAGCACACACTGTGAGAGGTGGAGGAATGTGTCTTAGACCATTCATGAAGACTTTAAATGCCACAATAAGATGTTAGACACTTTATTGTTAGCAAAAACAGAGAAATAAACTTTGCTCTTTGAGTTTTCCTTATAAAATACTTCATTGTCATTTTGAAATATTCAACAATATTTAAGTATATAAAGTAAAAAAAAAAAGAAATCTTAGAACCATTTCTCTCCCACAATCTCATTCCCTGGAAAGTGACCACAATAAACATTTTGTTATACAAGCTTTTAGATCCTTAAAAAAATTATTTAACTATCAGTTCATCTCTAGGGCAGCAGTCTGCAATTTTTTTGGATTTCCTATGCATTTAGTTCAAACAAATTTTCACCACTAATATATGCTAATCAATTCATTTAAATCAATTTAATACATGTCCTGCTCTTTTTGGCTAGTATGTCAAAGTACAATATACAACTTAGAGCAATATTCATCATTAAGGATACCAAAAACAGAAAAACCAAACTCACTGCCATTAAGTCAATTTCGACCCATAGCGACCCCTCCTTGGGTTTCTAAGACAGTGTCTCTATGGAAGTAGATTGCCCAGTCTTCATTCCAAGGAGTAGTTGGTGGGTTTGAAGTGCCAGCCTTCTGGTTAGCAGTCAAATGTCTTAGGATAGTGAATGCAAATCTCTATTTCGATATCTTCTTGATAGTTTCATATAAATTTGTTTTACTGTCATGCTTACCAAACTTGAAAAAGTGTCATGACTTTTAGCTTCCTAAGATGTCTGATTATTATACTAAGAGGAGAAATTTTCACTCTGAGATTTTCTTGTTTCCTTGTGATTGTCATACTATAGTTAAGAACTAGAGACAGACTGCCTGAGTTTAATTATAGCTCTGCCATTTACTAGCAACTTACTTAAACTGTCTATACCCTTGTTTCTTTCTTTCTTTTTTTTTCCTAAATGGGAGTAAGAATAGTACCTTCCTCATAGAGTTTTTGTGAGGGTTAGATGAGTTCATAGAGATGAAGTACATTGCCTAGTATATAGTAAATCCCACTTAAGTATTTACTATTGTTGATATTATGTTCAAACTGTAGCTTTTTCATAGGCATCTTGGAAAGCCACTTTGCTATTTTGTGAGAGTGTTATGGATTGAATTGTGTCCCCCCCCCAAAAAAAAATATGTTGAAATTCTAACCCCTGTACTTTGAATGTGAGTCTGTTTGAGAATAGGATTTTTCTTTTTGTTATTTTAATGAGCACATACTGGAGCAGGGTGGTTTCTAAACCTAATTACTTCTGAGTGATGTCTTATAAAGGGGAGAATAGACACAGAGAGACAGACATACGCAGGAGGAAGAGATGATGTGAAGGACCCTGAGGTTCTCTCCAGGTTAAGCACATGGGTGAGGAAGGGCCTTAAACAGCTGGTCTCAACCCACACCCTTCCATGGAATATCACTAAGCTATGGAAGAGGTGTCCATGAGCTCCAGGAAAAAGCCTCTTGTGGGGGTTTCTAATGGTTGTCAGTGTCCAGAGCAGCAAGGGGAATGTATGTATGTCCTTCACTCAGCCCTTTGTAGTTTGCCAAGAAGCTGAATGGACTAAGGAGGAAGAACACTTAGGACCAAGCTCTTTTCGTACTTTGTGGTAGTTCCTAACTAACAATGGGGTTCCATTTCAATGATTCTGGTGTAAGTCGGTTCTGACTTAAGTCCAATACCTCTTTATTTCTTTCTTTATTTTTGAAAGCAGAATGCTTTTTATTAGAACAGAGAAAAGCCACCCTACTGTCATTCAGCCACTGCTCTGTTTAGCTGTCAGCCTCTTGTCTCTCTCTTCAGCAATGGTAAGTCGAATACCCTTTCCCTTGGGCAGGGAAATCCAAGGTTTATTACCTTTGCCGATGACAAAAAATGTTGGAAAGCCTGGTGGCAAAGCTGTTGCCGTTGGCATCCTTCACATGCACAACATCAAAAGAACCAGGATGTTTTTCTCTGTTGTTGATCACACCCACACGGCTGAGATTGGCCCCACCAATCACCATACACACATTGCCAGTGTCGAATTTGATGAAGTCAGTTATCTTGCCAGTTCCTGTATTGACCACTACTGTGTCATTTGCCTTGATGAGAAGATCTGGGTAACAGATGGTTCGAGCATCTTGAGACACTGGGTGTGGGATTCCCTTTGTACCAACAAGTATCTTTCTGACACCTCTTTCTATTTTTAGTTTTCATTATATTCCTTTTTATTATCAGTGTCTTTATAAATCTGACCTTTGAACATCTACAAGTGGACATCTGAGAATGAGACGATCAGCAAATTACCTGTTGCAACATTGTGTGTAGTGCTATTACTAATGATGAATGAAAAAGAAAACCAGTTGTAAGTGCAGTTCATTGCAACTTGAATACATTGTGAGCTGGATTTGTATTTATAGTGTCATTCCCAGGATAGCTGCTTGGGTAGCTCTACTGGAATTCTATTGAAAACATTTCAATAAGGTTAATTTTGGTTAATTTTCAGCAGTGTTGTAAACTATCACTGTATATTTATTGACTGTCCCAGGGTGGGGAAAGATGTCTAATTCATCTTTTTGTCCCTATTGCTCAGCACAATGCCTGGTACATAATAATAATAGCATTCACTGAATATTAGATGTCAAACAGTTCAAAATACTTTATGCAGAATAGCTTAATCCTCACAACAACCCTATAAGATAGACACTACTATTATCTTCATTCTACAAATAAAGAAATTGAGGCACAGTGAGATTAAGTAATTTTTCCAAGATATCATAGAGACTTTTAGTGCTTACCCTTCCCTGGGTCTCCTCTTTCCAGGTATGTGGGAGGATCACTTCTCTACTTTTTTGCAGTTAAGTGGTCTTGTGACTCTAATGACCAATAAGCTCTGAACAGCAATGATGTGTCACTTCTGTGCTATCAGCGACTTCTCTGCAGGAGCATTTAATTACTGGTATGGGACTCTCTAGTGTTTACAAGAGTTGCAGTGTATACACAGCTACAAGACTTTAGAGTTTCTATCACCCTAGATCCTTGAGTGGTTAAGTCGAGCACAGCTTCCTCTCCCTCACAGAACAAATGTAGCTCAGTGAGAAATAAACCTTGATGTTTCAAGGCACTGAGATTTTGGTTTTGATCTGTTACCATAGTAAACTTAACTTATCTTGACTAATACACAGAATTAGAACTCTAGTAAAGGGTGGAGTAGATATTTAAACCCAGGCAGTCTGACTGTCAAGCCCATGGTGGTGCAAACATTTAAGTGCTTGGCAACTAATGGAAAGGTGGTTTGAATCCACCCAGAGGCACGTTGGAAGAAAATCCTGGTGATCTAGTTCTGAAAGATCATAGCTATTGAAAATCCAATTGTGGTGCAGTGAATTACTTAACATGGTCCTTCCAGCGATGGTCCTTGTGACTCCCACCAGTTAACTAGGTGAGACTAGGCAGATGTGAGGTGCATGTGGCTTACCAAGGGGATTGGATAGCTTGTTAATAATATGAATAAGATACATGGCACCTTTGTGTGGTTGGGACCATGCAAATCAGTTGTACAGAACACTAATCTAGGCATTGGTCAGTTTTGCCATCTCAACTAAGCTTAAATGAACCATCCCAGAGGCCAAGAAGCTGAGGGCCAAAGAGTGGTATGCCTACGGGCATGGCAGAGGGTTAGCTGTGCTGATTGAAGAATTGTATCCTGAATATTCCTGAATCTGAACTGTAATCTGTTACTTTTCTAATAAACCCTGTAACTGTAAGTACTGTCTGTGAGTTCTGTGTGGCCATTGCAATGAATTATCAAATGCAGCAGAGAAGTAGAGAGCGCTGTTGGGAAGAATAGTGGTGTCAGAATTGGTAAAAAGGTTGGAAAGTTGCTGCGTGTATGACCTCTACTTCACAGGAATCAGCCTTGGCCTGTTGACCTTGAGCCTTCTCCCTTGTGAAGTTAGAGGAGGTCAGACTCTGCCACTGTGCCCTTTTTATATGTGTGGAACAAAGTTCCACTGGAAACACATGGGGTCACCATGAGTTGGAATAAACTCAATGGAAACTGGTTTGGTTTGGTTTTTATAAGTGATTATTAAATGTTGATTGACTAAATGAATGGATAAATGATAGGAGGGCTTTGTTATTCACTTATAGTTAGCAATCAGGATCCAACTTTGATGAGGGTTGAATGCTTTCATTTTTTGAAGAATATCATCTCATTTCATCTTAAAACACTGGACAATTTTACTATTTATAGTGAGATGAATATATCTAATCATCACAATATTCATCCTGCCCAACAGTCTTTTAAAGAGATTTGTCTAAATTAGAGCTTTCAGATCTCATTAAAATTGAAACATTAGGTTGGTTTGATTTAGTAATTTTCAACCATGTGTATTTAAAATGACAGTACTATCCATCAAATGAAACTTTAGTCACAATTGGATTCTTCAATAATTGTAACAAAAGGCATAGTCAATTTGATAATAAAGGACAGTTCTCCACAGAAGATACCTGTAGGTGCTTTTGAATTAATTTAAAAAATTATAAATAATAAAAAAGAACATCTAGACCAGTCTGTTGTTGTTGCTGTTGTTATGTGCCATCAAGTAGGAGCTGACTCATAGCAACGCCCCTTGGGTTTCCGAGGCAGCATCACTACGGAAGTAGATTGCCCAACCTTCCTTCCGAGGAGTGGTTGGTGGGTTTGAACCACCAGCCTTCTGGTTAGCAGTCAAATGCCTTAGGCACTAGGCTACCAGAACTCCTAGGAAAAAAAAAAAAAAAAGAATAAAAATGACTCATATTTTAACCATTTATTATAACTGCTTTCATTTTTACATTATCTTTATCATTTTTGTATGTCATTGTAATCAGATACGCATTTTTATTTTCATTTTTACTTAATATTATAACAAAAGGAGCCCTGGTGGTACAGTGGTTAACCAAAAGTTTTCTCTGTGGGAGAAAGATGTGGCAGTCTGCTTCTGTAAAGATTTACAGCCTTAGAAACCATAGGGGGAAGTTCTGCACTGTCCTTTAGGGTCATTATGAGTCAAAATTGACTTGATGACAGTGTACCTACATATTTTTAGCACACACACATATATATATATATTTTCTTTTTTTTTTCATATGTATTTTTTTTTATAGCACACATATTTTTCAGTTTCCTAAAACTACAGTTGATAGTTATATAGTCAAAGTACCATCATTTAATTAATCAAGCTCCTATTCTCGGACATGTGTGTAGATGTCCCTTGTACCTTCTTTTACATACTTGTTCAAAACAGACTTTAATGACTAGACTCACCATACTGTTTGTGAAAGAAATCCTATGACTTTACTACATGATACTGAGGAAGAGTCAGACTGATTATGTGAGTTTTTGGTTGTTTTTTGGTAATTGATAAGATAGGTAGAAATGCCTAATTAGACCTTGCTGTTTTTTACATAGATCCCTGGGTAATGTAAATGGCTTCCACTCAACTGCTAACCTAAAGATTGGTGGTACAAACCCACCAGCAGTGCTGTAGAAGAAAGGACTGTCGGTCTGCTTCCTTAAAGATTGTTGTTGTTGTTGTTGTTAAGTGCCATTGAGTCATTTCTGACTCATAGTGACCCCATGCACAGCAGAACGAAACACTGCCTGATCCTGCGCCAGCCCCACAATCCCTGCTATACTTGAGCCCATCATCACAGCCACCGTGTCAATCCATCTCATTGAAGGCCTCCCCCTCTTTCGTTGACCCTCCACCCTACCAAGCATGACATCCTTCTCCAGGGTATGGTCCCTTCTTACAATATGACCAAAATAGGTGAGACGAAGTCTGGCCATTCTTGCTTTCAAGGAGCATTCTGGCTGCACTTCCTGCAGGACAGATCTGTTAGTTCTTTTAGCAGTCCGTGATAGTTTCAGCATTCTTCGCCAGCACCACAACTCAAAAGCATCAACTCTTCTTCGGTCTTCCTTATTCATTGTTCAGCTCTCATATGCATACCAGGCGATTGGAAATATCATGGCTTGTGTTAGGCGCACCTTAGTCCTCAAGGAGATATCCTTGCTCCTCAGCACTTGAAACAGTTCCTTCGCAGTTGACTTTCCCAATGCTACACGTCGTCTAATGTCCTGACTGCTGCTTCCATTGGCATCGATTGTAGAACCAAGCAATGTGAATTCTTTGACAACCTCAATCTTCTCTCCATTTATTGTGATGCTGCTCATTGGTCCAGTTGTGAGGATTTTTGTTTTCTTTATGTTGAGATGTAATCCATACTGCAGACTGTATTCTTCAACCTTCATCAGTAGGTGCCTTAAGTCATCCTCACTTTCAGCAAGCAAAGTTGTATCATCTGCATATCTCAGGTTGTTAATGATTCTTCCTCCAATCGTGATACCATGTTTTTCTTCATATAGTCCAGTTTCTTGGATTACTACCTTAAAGATTACAACCAAGAAAACCCTATAAAAACCAAACTCACTACCACGGAGTCAATTCTAACTCACAGCCACCGTCACTGGGTTTCTGAGGCTATAAATCTTTACAGAAGTAGATTGCCCCGTCTTTCCTATGGAACTGTTTTATTCTGTAACCCGTAGGGTTGCCATGTGTCAGAACAGACATGACTGCAAAGATTTTTTTTTTTCCTGGTCTTTTATATTAACAAGCCATTGGTAGGAGATATGGAGCCATAATCAGACCCAGTTTTCCTGACACCTGTTGACTATGCAAAGGCATTGGACTGTGTGGATAATAACAAATTATAAATAACATTGTGAAAAATGGGAATTCCAGAACACTGAATTGTACTCAGGAGAAACCTGTACATAAACCAGGAGGCAGTTGTTCAAAAAAACAAGGGAATACAGTGTGGTTTAAAATCAGGAAAGGTGTGTGTCAGGATTGTATCCTTTTACCATACTTATTCAATCTGTCTTCTGAACACATAATTGGAAAAGCTGGACTATATGAAGAAGAGCATGGCATCAGGATTGGAGGATGACTCATTAACAACCTGCAATATGCATATGACACAACCTCGCTTGCTAAAAGTGAAGATGACTTGACACACTTACTAATGAAGATTAAAGACTACAGTCTGCAGTGTGGATTGCACCTCAACATAAAGAAAATGAAATCCTCAAAAATGGACCAATAACCAACATCACAATAAATGGAAAAGATTGAAGTTGTCAAGGATTTCATTTTACTTGGATCCACAATCAATGCCCATGGAAGCAACATTTCTTTCTGACAAGAAACCAAACCATGTATTGCACTGGGCAAATCTGCTACAAAAGATATTTTTAAAGTGTTAAAAAGCAAATATGTCACTTTGAAGACTAAGGTGCACCTGACCTAAGCCATAGTATTTTCAATA